AAAGAAGTACAAATTGGATGATCTGAAGGAACACGAGGATGCTATACTCAGAGATTCCTCAAGGCACTTACTTGTCTATCTCCCCTGCTGGTCATCTTAATGGAAAGACCAGCTGGTTCTGGCTCCTGCAGCCTGCTGACCAAGGAGCCTCCTAATCTCCCCTCCCACCCCTCTCTACATGGTCAGCAAACTGGCATCAGTTCATTCACTTGAGACATACTACGGTCAAGGTTTTCACTCGATGAGTGTCTTCGGCAGCAATCTGTGTCCAAACAACGGGAACTACCCTTTGTACTTGGACAAATGCAGTTGCTGACCACTTTCCAAAAGATTTCAGATTCATAAGGATAAGTCTGGGAGCCCTCCAAGATTTTAAATTTTCTCATTCAACCAGTCCTATCTGATCATTTTAGTGGAAAATAAGTTTGTATTGTATACTAAGCTTTTGAAAATTTAAAAAAATCCATATATGTGAGATTATCCCTCTTTATTCCAGGCAGTTTGCAAAATTCTGGAAGACCAACATGACCAGTCTAAAACTTTTCATTCATTAAACAGACAATTGTTAAGCATCTCCTCAGGGCAAGGCAGGATGGCAGGTGATGGAGCTGAAGAAGGCAGACATGCAGGTATCTCAGTAAATAACAGAAGGAAGGTACTGGGATGGGATAAATGGGTTACCCTTGTAACAACAAAGGAAGAGCATTGTTTCAATAGAGGAGACACAAACAAGGTCAGGAGGTTGGGAAGCATCTTGAAGGAAAGCTGATCATGCCAAGTCGGGGCAGGACCTCCAGGCTTATGTCATAGCATGGGCAAATGCACGCCGCATTTTAAGAACTATAAACATACAGAGGCCAGGCCAGATGCTAGAAAGCTGTGACTGCCGAGCTAAGAAGCCTGGGATTTGTTATGTATCAAGGAGGAGCACAAGGAGAATTGTCAGTCCAACTGGCTGTACTAAAATGGGTGGGTGGGAGGAGATAAGGCTGCCGAAATAATCTCCTGAGGGTCAAAAACAGAGTGGGCCATGGCCATGGAAGTGAGATCTGAGGAACTTCGGGCTGGTACAAACCATAGGGACTTGCAGTCGTCACATGAAAGGATGAAGAAGACGACACTGGCTCTATTATATGTGACCACTTTCTTGGATTCCATGAACTGGCTGGCTTTTGCTATTTAAACATTTATTGTGGTTATTACCTACATCCTACATTGAGCCCTTGTGAATTCTTAAACACCCCTGAGATAAATGGGGGAGTTATTGCAAATCCTCTTTTATAGGTGAGAAAACGAAGACCATAAGGCTTAGCCCTGACCAGGGGAACCCAAATAACCAACCCGACTGGTGCAGAACTGGGATGAGAATTCAGTACAGTTCTCATTACACAATCTAAAGAAACATGACGATTGCTCAAAACCATCCTATTGGCACTATTTCTGGCCTGAGTAGGAGAGAGTTCATGGAAATTTACACTGAGAGCTGTGCTGGAAGTTGGTTTTGCTGATAATATTCACTCCAAAAGCCAACAGAAAGCTACCACAGTATGCCGAACCATTTAAAAAAAAAAAAAACATGAACGCACAGCACTCGTCTTACATCTTTAAACTAAATTATATTACTCTTATAGAATGCTATTTTTAGACTCAAGTTTTCCCATCATAAAGTTTAAAAAAGAACAATCTGTGTAAAAAGCAGGTAAAGAAATTCACTTACAAAGGTTTATTTAGATGCTTTACGACTTTAATGTCCTTCACGTATTCAACATAAAATACTGACATTGAATGAACAATAGGGGAAAAGATGCTTTAATAAGAATATTCCAGAACTCACAGCATCACTCTAGTCAAACACTGTAATGAGAACAGTCAAGTGAACAAACGATAAGGGAGTTTAACAGAGATTTTTAGTTTAACGGCATAACTGAAAAATAAAGAACAAACCTACAAGCCAAGCTTCTCTTTTACCCACTAAAAGGAAAATAAATCAAGGAACTTCAAAATCTTGTGAAGTGGCTTTAAGAGGGAGGAGGGGAGAGGCGAGACAGAACCATATTTCTCAAAAGTCTCTACATACATCATCAAGAACCACGTTATTAGAAATATAAATGCATAGAGATATAAACTATTTGGTATTAAAAACAGGCCTTGCTATGTAAACACATAGTGTGTCACTTTTATCTCTTTATGAAAATAACAGTATAAAGAAGGATTTCCAGTTTGTGTTTTAGCCTGGAACTCCTAAACACTCACCACATGGTCAACGTTAACCTGAATTAACAGCTGTGGAACTCAGGACACCCCACTGCTGTCATTTTGGAAAGGATCAAGATTCAGCACCCAGTGGCCCGCACCCACCCTCCATGCTGTGTGTTTGGGCATCTCCAGAAACAATTAACTGCACTTTAAGTCAGTCCACAGGCAAGTATGAATACTGAGATCTAGCTAGAAAAAGTAGCAGCAAAGATAACATAAGCTGGAATTGTTAGAAAAGCTAAAGGAAGATTTTTAAAATGCTTCCAGTTCAAGTCAAAATTAAGGTGTCTGTTAAGTCACAGCAGCTTTGCAGAGCTGTGGATGTTTTGCTGTTATCTGAGAAAAAAAGAATCTATAATAAGCATGTTCTTTAAGAAAAATATCAAGTTTAAGTTTTTGAAGCCATTGCTAAGCTACTTTAAATTTTGTACATTATTCAGAGGCAGAGTATATATTGGTTAGAATGTGCTCATAACTGATGCATCTCCAAAAACTTCTTCATGAAGGTCGCCAGCTCCTGAACATCCTCGATCGTGACGGCATTATACAGGGAGGCCCGGATGCCTCCCACAGATCTAGAAAGACCAAAGGATGCCACCATTAACATAAGCATCTAATTCAGCATCAAGACCACCCTCTCTCCAGTCACCCCACAGGTGGCTAGGTGTTCAGATATCTAATCATTAGAAAATTCTCCCTAATACAGTGAAAGTCCATCATGCTCTCACACATAACCTAGATGAACTCAACTATTCCAGGAGCCTGCGGTGCAGGGAGCTGGTATAACCACTGCAGGGTAGGTCTCTTGCCTCTCATGTGGAGGACATATTTTTCATAGAGCATGCAGGATTAACTATTCTAGCTGATGCTCCTCTGAAAAACAGTGATCTGTTCTGACACCAAAGAGGTTTGTACCAGCCTCACCAGAGATGGGATGGCAACCGCTGTGCTTTAAGAGCAATTTAAGTGATTTTCAAGGGTAATTTTGACAAAAGCCCCTGGAAGATATGGCTTCACCATGCTCTCAGCGAGGGAATCGTGCTAAGGGCTCTATAAGCAACAAGAGGAAGGACTAACCCTGTAACAACTGATTTTCCCAACAAGTTAGAATAACTGCTACTCCAAGCTGGGCAGGCTCCAAGATCTGTTTCGTTCTGCATTTGAAAACCTAAACCCATTCTCTGACAAGTTCCTGGACTGGATATGTACTCACCTATGACCTTTCAAGGAGATCATATTGAGTTCCAGAGCTTTATCGAGAAATCTTTTTTCTAAAGCATCGTCTCCTTTGGCATTGCCAATGCGGAATGGAATATTCATCTTGCTTCTATTCTGGGGCTCCACTGGACATCTGAAAAACATGTTTACTATTCCAGTGACTTTTCTGAAATGTGCAACTGCCATTAACAAATCAACAGAAAAAAAAGTTAAACATTTTCTAAATGGAAATAGGAAATGAAAAAAAGACCTGCCTAGGACATTTATAATTTACTTAGGGAGACCCCTGTTACATATGAAACAGGGAGTTAGCATTCTCTTATGTGACTTGTACTTAACTTGCACAAGCCTGTTTCCTCATTTGAATATTGAGAATAATAATACCCCCATTTCAGACTAGTTGAGACAGTTTCAGTGGTTCGACAGCTACACAACAGTGAGTGACTCTTTCTCTACAAGTCCACAGAGAAAAAAATATTGGTCCTAATCGTGGCTGCAAGACTTAAAAATAATGTGCAGCAGCTTTCAATGCACTTGTCACACTGTATTATCCTAAGCCGTGTGACCATGAGTAAGTTACTAATCTCTCTGTTGTGCCTCACTTTCTTTATCTGCTGAATAGTGGGAAGTATAATGGAATCTATCTCATAAGGTTGATGTGAATGAAGATTAAGTGTATTTATAGGGAATTTTTGTGGCATATTTTTAAATGGTCACAAATTCTCTGCAGCCCTGCCAGCAATAAATGGGGTCTAGTTCATCACATCTTTTGAATCTGAGCTGGCCTTGTGACTTGCTTTGACCAAGAGATTACAGCTAAAGTGATGCTGTACTACTTCCAAGCTTAGGCCTCAAGGGTCACGTAGCTTCTATATCTGCCCTCTTAAAACACTGCTGCTGCCACATAAGTAAGCCTGAGCTAGCCCTGCTGGAAATAAATAGCCCAGCCAACAGCTAGCATCACTACCAGACATGTGAGTGAGACCATTTTTAAAAAACCACTGGCTTCAGGTGAATTACCAGATGACTTCCGTTGAATAAGTGGTCCCAAGTGAGAGCAGCAGAACCACCCAGCTGAGCCTGGCTCAACCTACTGACCCAAAGAATCACAAGCAAAGAAAATGGTTGTCATATTGAGTCACTGTCTTGGGGTATTCTATGATGCAAGAATAGATAACTATCACACTTTAAAACAGTGTCTGGAACAGAGTAAATGTGATATGAGTATCTGCTAAATTCAATAAATTCATCTTTTTATTCCTAGCACCTTGCACAGGGCTTACACAGACTCTCAGAAATGATGAGTGAACTTTTTATCTAGGAATGGATAGGGATTTGACTCTAGTTTCTGATTTGTAAAATAAGCAGCCAAAATTATTTTCCACTGACAACCAAAAGAGACAAATGGAAGAGCAAATGACATGCTACTCTGGAATAAGAGAAAAATATGTAATGATCCTCTTTCTCCATTTTCAAGCACATCCTGTCTTAGTCTTACACTTCTACAGAGTGGGAGTCGTTAAAATTAAACAGCAAATAAAAGCAGCGTGAGGAAGCCCCCATTAAAAGTTACGCTTTTCCCTGAGGGCACATACATAATTCCTGTTAAAGTTAATAGGAGTCAAGTGCACACCTACAGGCAGAAGAGACGTGAGAAGGGAAACCAAATAAGGGAAACCAAAAATCTCATAGCTGGCTGGCTTTGAGCTTGAATTCTGGGCGCCTCCCCTTTTTATGAGGTGGTAAGTATCATGGTGGATATTTAAATTAAAAATTCAGTGGATACCATCTTTTTATATTCTGCTGCCTCAGGCTCCCAAACTGAGCATCCAATTATAGAGGTGGAGAGGCAAAAAAGCACAGTTAATTTAAGGGGGAAAAAAAAACTAACAGCGGAAAGAATGAAGAATCCGTATTTATAGTGAACCCCCCGCCCTATTTACCTATCCATTGTGAGAGTCGATGAATCACGACACAAAAGCTAGAAATTAAAGATTAAATTGGCACACAACAAATACTTAAACAGTGCCCAAGAGTATCTCTGGTATGAGACTGAAGGGAAGGAAAAAAAAAAGAAGAGTAAAAGGAATTAACTGCTCCCACTCTAGTGAGATGGCTGAGTAGGGAATTAAAATTCCATGTGAGAAGTGCTGTAACAGCAAAGGGCTGTGGAAGCAAATCCGAACAGGGAATTCTGCCTGAGAGAAGGCTGAAAGGAGTCACAGAAGGGGACATGAGAGTTGTTAGTTAGGACAGGAGATGAAAAATGAACATTGTGACAGAGAACTTGCATCTGCAAAGGCATGGGGACCCCGGCAGGCTCTCTGATGCAGCTGGTGTTGGGTTTCTGGCCACGGTAGGGCCTGGACGGTGAAGGGCCTGCAGATACGCTCTGCTGGAAACTGGATGGGATCCTTGAGCAATTAGAAGCAATCAGAGTTTTTGGAAGAGAGAAAATGGAAACCTGAATTTTTTTCCCCACTCCACATGAAGGTAGGTGGTAAGAAAGGTGACCTCAAGTCTGAATATGAACACTATCATTTGGACATTTTTATAATAGTAAAGATAATATCTAATATATATTAAGCACTGTGTCAGGAATGTATTAAGTGCTTTCCACAGTAAACACAAATAATATTTAGAGCTAACTCTTTTCTTTTTCATTTGTCTTAAGGTAGCTTTTGATAGCTCCCTTAATCTCATTGTTAACCCATTCATTGTTTAGTAGCATGTTATTTAGTCTCCATGTGTTTGTGTATTTTTCAGGTCTTTTTTGGTCATGGATGTCTAGTTTCATACCATTGTGGTCAGAAAAGATGCTTGATATGATTTCAATCCTCTTAAATTTATTGAGACTTGTTTTGTGGCCTAACGTGGCCTATCTTGGATGGAGCTAACTCTTTAAGGAATGCTCCCTATGTGCCAAGCGCTGTTTCTAGTTCTTTATACAACTAACCAGCACAAGAGCCCATGTTCTTAACCCTTGTATTACATACTCTTTATTCGCATGCATTTTTCACATAATCCTCATGACAGTCATAAGAAGTACATACTATTACTACATCCATTGTACAGATGAGGAAACTGAATTTAGAGCAGCTGGGTCATTTGCCCAAGTTCACGTGCTAGTAGCAAAGCAGGGCTTCTAAGCCCAAGATGCTATACTGCTTACGTGAGCTCATCTTGGGGTCAACCAGTGCTGTGTGGGTGTTTGGGCTATGGAATGAACACAGGGATTTCTACAGTTGTCTTATCTAGTCTCTGAGTTCTCTGCCAGGGTCAGTGGCAGAACTGGTGCAATCGCCAGCCAACCACCCAGAACTGTGTTCAGAAAGGGGATGCTTTACGACTCAGGGGGCAAGGAACAGGGGACAAGAACTAGAAGCAAAGGTGGTGGCGAATGGCATCATCTAATTCTAGATTACTTGGTATTCTTCTTTAAAGTGTCTCACCTCCCTTTGGGGCCATATTCCCATAGTTCGAAAGTAAAGAATTTCCTGAAAACCCAAGTGAGTACAAAGACAACCAATGAGTACCCAGCTGCAAACACTAAAGAGAGAGGGAGTGAAAGTCTGCTCTTGACTCTGGTAACAAGGTCCCACAGGAATGTCATGAGCTAGGATGACATTTTCTGGGCAAGTGGCCCATGGGGTGGATGGAAATTCCCAGAAAGAGGTTAATTCTGAAGAAGATGCAAGTTCTGGGTCAAGGCTGTTCATAGTAAATGAGTTTCGGGTGGGAAGATGATTAGATTCCCCACAAGAAGACCCGCCTGCCACACTGGCTTCAGAAATGCCAGATTGGGTGTTTGCAGTTAAAGAACCTTGGGGGAAAAGAATTCAGGGGATTCCTAGAGTTCCTTCTATGCTTTTTCTCCCCCCATGTAGAATTGGTGGACTGGAAGCCACCAGCACTGAAGACATGACATGGAGAGGGGCGGAGGCCTGTCCCTCTGCCTCCCTACATTACAGGAACCGGGACCAAAGCCCGATCCCCACCAAGAAGAGGAGGGTCCTCTATGCGTTTTTAAAATGTGTTTCTAAGGCCCTGGATTTTTCCCAGGGGCATCATCATTCCTTCTGTCCTTCAATTTTGTGCCTACACATTTCCTGAGAAATATTTAGAGCCAAAAACTAATAGAAAAACTAGTCTCCCCACCACAATAGCCGCCAAGTGCTTTCACTCATATTTAGGTTCTGAGCACTCTTTGGGAATCAGGAAAGATGACTTTTGTCTTCTGCGTATCCCCAGAGCCTAAAACAAGGCTAGTCCAGAGTCAGTCAGTACTCAAGAGGATGGATGGATGGATAAATCAACAAGTGGATTACATGTCCTCAGCCCTTCCCACAGACTTTCCTTCCAATCTCAGCACAAGCCATCTCTCCAGGGAGCATACATTCTGCTCCCCAAGCACACTGTACTTTCTTCCCTCCGTGTCTTTGTGGGGGCCACTCTCAACCTTCCTAAAAATTCTTCCCTCTTCTCTGCCCAACTATACTCTCGCCCAAGGTTCGAGCTCATTCAAAAGCCCTCCCCTCACCTCCAGCTAAAGCAGTAGCTTCCTGCTCCAAGCTCGTGCTTCATTATTTAGCCCTTGGCTACGAACTCCTTGGACCATCTACTGCTAATCGTGCATTTTAAAATGGCTCCAGTGGGGTACCTTGGCCTGCGCATGTACATATCAGGGTCTAGGGAGGAAGATTCCCCAGCACCAAGCCCCCAGCCTGCACTTGCCTCTGCTATACAGAACCACAGAGCAAACAGAAATGCAGTGTGCACCTCCTTCCTCCAGATCACATGTGGGAGAAGAGTTCAAAGGCCAAGGCATCTAGCCAAGCTGAACTCTCCTCTGGGACTGGACTGGAGGGTCAGTGCAGGACTAGAACTCACAGGGGGAGGCATCAAGCCCTTTAAGGGCAGAGGTGGCAAGAGCATGCTGCTTTATCCTAGTTGTCCAAAAAAGTATAACCAAGCAGGGTCGGGCCTGGTTAATACCTGGATGGGAGACTACCTAGGAAGACCAGGTACTGTAGGCATAAAAACTAAAAATAAAAAAAGTATATCCACCATCCCCAACCCATGGGTGGTTATGGAGGGAGGTGTGTTATATGTTAGGACAGAGACGTTATTTTGTCTGTCCTATATGGCCCACTGAATTCTCAAAGAGAGTACAAATTTCCATGTTACTATCAGCCATACATTTCTGTTAAAACAGACTAAACCTCAAACAGTAATGGCCACTAAGAACAGAGTTCTAGCTCGGTAAAGGAGAAGTATTTATGTATATGTACATATATACATACCCATACACATGTGTGCATGTACACAAACACACAGGATAAAGTCTGGTCCTCATACATCTGTCCCCATCCTGAAGGACAGGAAAAGCAAATGAAGACATCATCTGCTAAGCTTTTCGTTTATCAGGCACTGTACTAGATACTTCACATCTAGCATTTTGGTGAGAGGTCTGTTGTAGGGGGTTGAATGGTAGTCTCTGAAAAGGTATATCCATATTCTAAACCCAAGAACCTGTGAATGTGACCTATTTGGAAAAAGGGTCTTTGCGGATGCAATTAAGCTAAGGTCTATCTAGATGGGATAGATCATCCTGGATTATCTGGGCAGTCTCTAAATCCAGTGATCTGCCCTTGGAAAAGAAGACACACAAAAAAGGAGGAGGCCATGTGAAGACAGAGGCAGAGACTGGGGTGATGCAGCCACAAGCCAAAGAATGCCTGGAGCCACTAGAAGCTGGACAAGACTGAAATAGATTTGACTCTGGAGTCTCTGGAGGAAGCAAAGCCTTGCTAACACCTTGATTTCGACTGTCTGGCCTCCAGAATGAGGAGAATCAATTTCTGTTATTTTAAGCCATCCAGTTTGTTTGCAATACTTTGTTCCAGCAGTCCAAGGAGACCAATATAAGGTCTATAAGTTTTCTGTACCACTCACAGAAGCTGCTCCAGTGCTCAATACATTCATGAATTACTTAGTCACAAGAATGTTTAACTAGCAGTCAACTCATCCATTCACAGACTGCAGACTGGGGATGGGGTTGGTAATAAGGGAATCAGTGAACTTTCCTAAAAGGGTAAATTAGCATGGAGGGGGCCAGGGTGGGTGTTTACACCAAGGGTCTCCAGCACAGCCTCTAGGTAAAGTTGAGAACTTTACCTAGCCCAAGTACATTTTGTTTTTGTTTTTGTTTTAAACCCAGGACGCATACAGAGGAAGCAGGAGGCAGTGGGAGAAGGGGTCTGCCCGAGGTGAAATGAGAATCTTCCCCAGGGTGATGTCTTTAGTATAAGAAATGTCACCACCCACGAGGACACGGGCCTACAGCAGGGAATTCCTGGGGTGGGAATACAGGATCACCCTGCTAACCAGCACTTCGGTGTCTCAGAGAAAGGTGAATGCATCATTTGCCTTTTAAAAGGATCAGGCATAGACACATTTTTGAATTCACAAGAGGCAAAATGTGAAAAAAAAATCCATCGACTTACATATAGAATCCTTGAGAATTATTGATGATGTCATAAATCATCTGCGATTTGATGGAGCTAAGCTTCTCCATGGCCGCTGCACCGCCATTGTTCTTAATCCACTCCAGGACCAAGCCCACGACGTAGATGCTGAAATAAAGATTAAAGCAAAAAAAAAATCCACTTAGTTCAGCTTTGCAAAACTGGAAAGATTCAAGCCAACTGTTAAGTTGCACAAAAACAGACTTAAATATGTCATTAGACACAGACAAGATGAGAGGGGGCCACGTGGAGACCAAGGACAAGAGCATGTTACGGAGCAGGAATTGGGATCGACCCAGTGCCAGGCCCCTGAGGGCCATTCAGAAAGGAAGTTTCACTAAACTTCTCACAGGATATCATATCAGTCCCTACCTGTCCAGCCTAAGCCCTAATACAAACTTCACAACACCTGGAACACACTTCCCTCCCCCTATACCTGCTGACATCTGGTCCCCACTACAAGCATCTGCAGATCCCCTGACCTCACCCCCACCCAGTTACAGTTAGCCCTTTACTTCCTGAACTACCAGAGCCCTCTGCCCATACTTCCCACAGTTTTTACCGTTCACTTTATATTTCTACGTGTCCTAGTCTTAGAAGGCTGAGAGCACGTGGTATTCAGCTTTTCCACCCCCGCTGCCCTGACACAGGGCCCTCCACCTGGCAGGAGGCAGTGTGGCAGGACCCCTACCCAGACGAACTAGAGCCTTCCCTGGAATTCTCTGAATTGGGAGTGAGGAGAAAGAGGCAGACATGTGTGTTGGCGAAACTGTGAGATACGAGGAAAGAGCCCAGGGAACACTTGAAGGTAGCTCATCTGAAAATATGAAGCCGGCATTTCAACAGAGAAAGTAAGGATCAGAAAAAGAACAGATGGGGTAGAATTTGTGTCCCTGGTTCAAGAGGTCCGGCTGTATCTCGGTCCCTCCTGCAGCTTGGCACTATTTCTTTCTGAGCCAAATATTTTAATTCTCTGTCACCTGTGAGACCTCAGGGCTCTTGTGGGGACTGCTGGAGACAGGTTGGACGAGGTGCTTGACGCAGGGCCAGGCGTGTGGCAGGTGGGCCACATCAGTGGCGGTTAGTATAGTATCTTTACTATTAATTGCTCAAAACTAAGCCAGAAACACCTGATGCTGAAGAGTAGTGGGTGGTTTCCCCAGTGACTTTCTGAAAGCCTCCCTTTGAGACACTCTAATAGCCAGAGGCTTGTCCCAGGGAAGCCCAAGACACTGACTAGCTCATTTACTGTCTCACCTGACTGGTAGAGGACCCTGGAGTTTCTACCCCCAGAAGGTAGCAGAAGCTAAGGATGGGTGCCCAGCGGGCACTGGGCAAAGCAGCCAGCACCCAGAACCAGGTGGCAGCCTCTTCAGAAGCTTCCCCAGCCTAGCTCTCCAGACAGCCCTGGGAGGAATGAGAAACAGCAGCTAGCTGCAGAAAAGGGAAGAGAGATCAGAACAGAAAACAGCCCTTGAGTAAATATAGCCTCGGGTATATATATATCTCTGGGCGAAGACTGAGACAATCAGAGGGGAAAAGGAGAAAGAAATGAGAAAGCAACAAATATTACGGAGGTCCACTTTGGGCAAGGTATTCTGCTAGTTGCTCTCTCTTTTATTGATCACAGTAATCCTGAGGTCAGAGCCACCATTATCCCATTTCACAGATGAGGAAACTGAGGCTCAGAGCTTAACTTGGCAAAAGTCACCCAGAAAAGGGCCGGTAAGGCCAGAATTCCAACCCTGATCAGTCTGACTCTAAAGCCCAAGTTATTTTTACCAGTAACACAAGCCTCAGGTTTCCCTGGTCCTCCAGGGCCCTCAACCACCATCTCACCTGCTAGTCGGGTAGCCGGGCTGGCACCAAGTGTCACAAACACAGCTGCCAAGTCCAACTGCTACACAGGCATCACAGCACATATGGGCATGTGTGGACATGTGTGCATTTCAGATGCAACGCTGCCTTCCAACTACTCTATTCTTTAAGATACCATCTAACCCCAAACTGCTCACTCCCCACAAACCACAGAAACACACCCTGCCACAACAAGAACCAAGAAAAACCACCATCATGCCTGTTCACCAACAGTACTTTTCAGAGGTCATGCTTTGCTTTTGTACCTGCAGTTCTGTTATCCCAGGGTTCCCAAGTTGCTCTTTCAATAACCAAAATCAAAGCTGCAGCAAGGACCCAGGCCAGGTCCATAGTCCCACCAAGACCTCAGCAATAACACGCTCCCCTCTCAGATGCTGTCAGGCTCAGGCTCACTGCCCATGCTCTCTGGCTAATCTGAATGCCATCTGACCAGGGAGAGTCATGAGAAAGCTCGTCCATTTTACATGTTGTCTGGAGCCAGCACCCTTAGCTTAGGTGCATATGAAGCCTCACCAAGAGGCAGAGGGCTGTCCTAGGGACCAGAAGTCATCCTTGGCATGGAAGGACATCTGGTCCCTGTGACTCTACTGTGGTTTCCAGTTCATTAGTAACTCATGCTTCTACCCCCATACAATCCAAAATCTTCAAAATACAGGGCCCTAAAATGCTTAGGCAGCTTTGCAACTTGGTCTCAGTTCTCTCCACTCTCAGTGTACTGCAACACTTTTAAATGATTTATGCGTTCACTTCTAAAATGCCACCTGTAAACACCAGACATAGGTTTACCATCTAAGCCTGGCTATTAAATAACTAAGTAAATCACAGCATATCCATTCTATGGTATACCGTACAGCGATTCAAAGGGGAAAAAGGGCAGGCATTTGAGCGGATACAACAGTGTTCATAGTTTTTTGTTGAGTGGAAAAAAGGAATTCACAGAACAGTGTGTATGGGAAAGTGCCATTTGCATAATTAAATATATGGCTTTATACATTTGCATATGCCCAGTTAAGGGTCTGTTAGGATACACAGCAAGCAATTAACAGTGGTAACCCCAGCAGGCTCTAAAACCTTTGCTAAGAGCATGTGTTATTCTTTTAAGTTTTTTAAAATACCAAATACACTCTTTACACTAGGGCTTAGAAAAGCATACAGGAAAGTCCCCAAAAACTCTCCTTGGCTGTTCTGAAGATTCTAACTGCGCTTCTGGAGTTGATGGTGAACAAGGCTAAGCCCGCTGGGAAAGCCTATCCTGACACTGCGATAAGAAAGGTGGCCTGGATTAGTAGGGTTATTTTGTTTGTTATTAGTTAGTCTACCTCAAACTACAGCTAAAATGAATTTATACTTACATGTTCACTTAGTAATAGTAAGTAAAAACTTTAATGGGGTTGGAGAAAAGTTTAGACATCTTTTTGCTTATCCATTAACTGAGCTTAATATGTTCTACTAAAGGGTTAAACAGAATGGCCAAGTGTCCTTTATTCCACTCCAATTCATTGCTCAGAGTTACAGGCAAGTATTTGAAGGCCAGTTTTCCAGCACAGCTCAAACAAACTTCCCAGGGCCTATAGTCATTTGGCTCTGATTTTTAAAAAGGCTTCTTTTCAAACTTGGGACCTTTTCAAGGAATTCTATGTGATACAAAGTTCCAGAGTGTTCCGAGTGCCTTATCAGTTTACATTCAAGGATTGAGGAGGATGTTTTGCACAAATCTGCACGTCTATATGGAGCTCATTCTCACTGGGGTGAGCTACAATTTTCTAACACTGATTGTTTAAGTACTGCAAATGAACTCTACCTTTTTCAAGTCATAGATTCAGGGTGTAATTGCTCAATCACACAGACTTTTACTTTGTTCCTTTTCTCTTCTTTTGGGGTAAAAGAAAGCAAAGCAACTTCCAGGTGTTCTCCTGGAATAGAACACATTGATCCCAGTCTCTTTCATCGTCTACATTTACATGATTCTAATCAAATATTAACAATCCTGTCCTGGGGTGGCATCAATTATCACTATATTATCACTATTCGGATCTGTCTAGGGAAGAAACTTAGCCCTTTTTCTGCCCTTTTCTGTGGTTCAGCCTGTTCCCTCAGGCAAGAAAGTTCTGGGGAGAAAGTTCATTCCCCCCCACCCCCACCACTTCCTGTTACCCTCCATCCAGCTAACCAGCTAACCCGGCTGGTCAAAGCCAGGTCAAGGACTGGGGCCTAAGGCTAGAAAGTGATCCTATAAAAAAGTTACTGTTCTACAACTTCCTGTGTCTTCAGGTCTGACTCCAGAAGACGCTTTCATCTCCCAGTGAACAGACTGGCCCCCTTTCTCACTGTTCCTGATGATTTTTCACCCTAATATTAACAAACAGCATATGAACATATTCATTACATTTTTAAAAAATCTGTTTTTCTGATCCTGTCTGATCTTGGAAGCTAAGTAGGGTCGGGCCTCGTTAGTACTTGGATGGGACACCACCTAGGAAGACCAGGTGCTATAGGCGTAAAAAATAAAAAAATAAGGGATTGTAAGCTGACAAGGTCCTTTCAATCTGTGAGGTCAATCAAGGGTTGCCTTGCCTTCAAAAAAAAAAAAAATAAAATAATAATAATAATAATAATAATAATAAAATCTGTTTCTTGGTAACTCTTAGAGAAGGTGCCAGATTTGTGACAGCTCCCCGTGCTCCTCCGGTTGTACTCTAATCAGAACTGGCCAGCCTTTAGGCCACATTTCAGGGATGGGGCTCTCTCTGCCTCCTTCTCCCTTCCCAAAGCCAGTGGTGGCGTTTGCCTTGCCCTGAAAGGACCCACCTGACTCAGAGCCAGGCCTTGGCTCCACCTTCTATCAAGTAAGTCAGCCACCTCCTGCCACTTTGCAGCCTGGCACCTAAGCCCCTTCCCCAGGGGCCATGCATTTGAGGGTCCCCAACTGTGCGTGCCTTCTCCACCCAGCATGCCTAGTTCTCATTTCCCAGTTAGCCAGAGAGCACTATTTCTCCACTGCCTAAAACCCTAGAGGTAAGCGATAGATTCAGCACCACCCCCACATACCTCCCTATTCCTAATAGGCATTTCAGAAACACTTTTAACCCTAGTGAAACACAGTGGGGCTTACACGTGACCAGGAGAGTTAGCCCAGAATACCCCATTCCCTGAGGAAAGTGGGGGACACAAAATGAGCTGCTCTGCCTCAGGTGAGCTATGTGGAAAACCAGCAGAGATTCCATGAGAATCGAAACTTTGAAAAAACTTTTCTTTCCTATGGCAAATTATGTGGAAGAAATTTTCTACAGGCAGCATTGAGTGGGGAGACCTCTAACAAAGTCCCAACCCAGACGGAACAGATGCCTGCACTAGCCCCAGCCCCCTTTTAAGAGAACGTCTAGCCATTGTGGAAAAATCCAGGAGTTTAAGAGCTGGACTCCAACAGCCATCTACTCTCCTAAGGCAGTATCCTTCAAACACAGATACATACTGATACTTCTGCTTGTGAAGAGCATTAAAGTACAGGGTGTACACATTCAGACTCTGGAGCCAGGATACCTTGGTTCAAATCCCAGCTATGCCACTTCCTAGAAGTATGGCCTCTGCTTGCTTCTTCACTTGCAAAATAAGAAGAGTACTAAGAGTACCTACCTCCTAGGGTGCATAGGAGGTTAATGGGTCATATACATAAGGTATAGCTGCCCTGGAAACATAAATCCATCAACTCTAGCTCTTCTCTCCACTGCTAAGGCTCTGGGATAACAAAAACAACAATGATAATAATATAGCAGTTAACATTTATGAAACACCAAGTGCCATGTACATTAATGAAACACCAAGTGCCATGTACATTAAATATAATACATATCAACTCATTTAATCCTCACGGCAACCCGGTAAGGAGGGTACTATTATTACTTCTGAAAGAATCTGCTGCAGAAAGGTTAAGCCAGCGGTCCGCAACCTTTCTGTGACCAAGGACTGGTGCTTCTATGAGAATCTGATGCCTGACGATCTGAGGTGGAACTGAGGTGGTGATGCCAGCACTGGGGAGCGGCTGCAAATACAGATGGAGCTTTGCTAGCTTGCCTGCCACTCACCTCCTGCTGTGCGACCCAGTCTGTGACCTAGGGAATGGGGACTCCTGGGTTAAGCAACTTGCCTGAGGTCATACAGCTAGTGAGCAGTAAAATCTCTCAGGCAGATGTTAAATCCTAGGCATCACAAAGATTTTGCTAAACCATCTGAGTCTGGGAGTTAAATGACTGCATGCAAGACAGTTTTGCTCTCCCTGAAAGGGCTACAACGCAGCCTCTCTCACTTGGCTAATGGGAAGTCAGGCTCACAGGACCTGCAGATTGGGTGAAAAACTAGGAAGGAGTTTGTTCCAAGCCAGTATGTTTGCTCCCAAGCAGCTGGCTTCCTACAGGCCAGGCAGGGAAAGACAAGAACAAAGGGGAGGCCCAGCCTTTGAAAAGTTTTTCTCGAAATTTGCACTGTTTGTTTGAGATGCAGCTATAGCACTTCACCTACAGAGAGCTTCTGAGTTAATGGTGAACCACCAAGGCTACCAAGATCAAATAAAAACACGCCCCTGCCCCAAAAAAGGGCTAGAAGACTGATCGACAGTACAGAGGGTAACGAGAGAGACATGAGCTGGACGGAGAACCCTGATAGGATCTCTAGGCTATCAGGTCATGGGTTCATGGAAACACGCTCTACTAGAAAGTCACATCTGCTCCGACGGGAAAGAAATCCCCTTAATTGGTCCATGAGCCACACCCCGGAGTTACCTGAAACAGGGAGGTGTGTTGTACAAGGAGTTATTCCCAGCCTGCACTTTGTACTCCAGGACCGAGGGGCACTCTCTGAGGGCGAACCCCAGCAGGTCATCACGGATGATCACCACCGTGACCCCCGCAGAGCCAACGTTCTTCTGCGCACCAGCAAAAATCACACCAAACTGAAAACAAGAAAAACATGCCATTTTAGGTGTACCTGGTCATTTTTCATAAATGTATTTCAACTTCCCAACTTCTTTCCAAAGCACAATTTTATGAGGAAGTAACTATTCTATTCCTATTTGAAATGCATTTCTTTCTCTAAAAAAGTCTCCATCTGAGACAGCAAAATCAATACTCGTGAGTTCAAAGGCCTGTAGATTATGTGTCTGCCTGGTCCTTCTTCAATTTAAGGGGCTAGCCCACACCTACCACCGCAAATACCTTATACATATTCATATTCACTCTGCATACTTCCTTTCTATATCCAAGCTGGTTTTTAAAATAGGGAGGCTAACTGCCCTTGGTAACCAAAAGAAACAGAATTTTTAATCCATTTATATTTGTATAAAGGGACAATCAGAAGAATGCGGAGAAATAATAAGACAAGCTGCCTGAGAGAAGTAATTTTAGAAAACAGATGTTTAAAGATACATAGGAAACTTTGCCTTGTAAGATATAGAACCCTCTCCCACGTTTCCCCATGAACACTTTAGGAAAATGAAGTGGCATCTCAAGTGGGAATGGATACAACCTGGCCTGCAGGAGTGTTTTATAGTTGATATTGTTTAGAATTGCTAGTACATGGTGACTGATAATACAAACCAGGCCATAACTAAAAGATAGTATATTCATATAATGGAATATTATTATGCAATTTTATAAAGGAATGAAGTTCTGACATGTGCTGCTGCATGAATAAACCTTAAGGACATTATGCTTAGTGAATAAGCCAGACACAAAAGGACAAATATTGCCTGATTACACTTATAAGAGGTAACTAGAGTTGTCATGTTCACAGAGGCAGAAAGTAGAATGGTAGTTTTCAGGGGCTGGGGAGGGAGGACTGGGAGTGAGTGTTTAATGGGTACAGAGTGTCAGTGTGGGAAAATCAAAAGTTCTGGAGAAGGATGGTGGTGATGACTGCACAACAGGGTGAAATGTATTTAATGCGACTGAAGTGTACACTTACAAATGGGTAAAATGGTAAATTTTATGTTTTATGTTTACCATCATTTTTCTTAAAAGCAGCCTACCATTTAGTTTGTTTTAAATTATTCAGATAATACACCCCCTTGCTGCGTGCCCCTGGTGCACTACTACCACTGCCCGCCTTGGTGTGCTACCCACAAAGTCTATGTGTCCTGTCAATGCTCTTGGAGATAAAGAGGTATGAGGCAAGGTGGGCTTCCTTCATTGGCCCCCTGAGCTTGAATAATCTGCATCTTCCCTTGAAGACAGCAAGCCACTCCCAAAGTATTGACCAAAAAATATCCTAAGAGCCAGTCTCAAAGGTAGATAAATTCCCCAAGGACCCAACTGTGTCCCTGTGAGGCACTCGTTAACACAGGACCAAGACTGTCAAGACTAACGTTCTCACAGCCAACAATGTCAGCCTCTCCTGCTCCAGTATATGTTTAAATGCCCTAAAGAATCCAAGACGCTGGGGTCCCCCCACCCAGCCTCTTTTGCACTCTACCTTGGAAACGTCCACTGGCTTAGATAGGAAGTTCGAGGACATGTCACAAACCAGCACTGCCCCCTTGACATCAGGGATAAAGTCAAACTCCACACCATGCACGGTCTCGTTAGCACAGTAATACACATAGGAGGCATCCGGGCTGAGGGTCCAGGTGCTCGGGTCTGGAATTTCTATCACAGAAAACAAGTTGGAGACGCCACACTTTTACTCCCCTCTTTCCTTATGTGGACGAGAGTCAACCAGGAATAACAACCCTCCCCTAGCAGTGAAACACTGATTCCGAAGTATTCACAAGGGAAAGCACCCTATCCACCTCACATTATAATCACCACCACCATCCTGAAAGGATGATCAATCTCACCCTGCTTAATCTTTAAGAATGGTGGAGTATGTATTTGGGTTTTTTCTTGTCATCCTATGTCTACTGATGGTCCGATAGTTTCCTCTTGGGGCTCCAGCCTCCCCCATTCTCAGCTCATTTGGTTCCAGTGATGCCAATTTCACCCATAGCCCCAAAGGCAGAATGCGACTTGGGCACAGTCACATGACTGATTTGGAATGGGACACATGAGACTGTTATTGGGGCATCTGAGCAAAGGCACTGAACCTTGGGGAGAATACGAGGTCAGAAGAGGCTGTAGCCAACTTCTAAAAATGAAGGAACAGCTTTCCTGACTGCAGACCCTCCTGGAGCTAGTGTTGGGGCCCGCGATGAAGCCATACCTAAAGCCAAACCAGCCCCAGGCTTTTCAGCTCAGTGAGTTTAATACTTTTTCTGCAGCAGCCAGTTAGTAGTCTTACCTAGTACAGGCATCCAGTCTAAATGGCATCAAAGGAACTACTGACAAGGAGAGGAAAGAATTAAAACCGTAGATTGCTTTGGGAAAGGGAAACCTGAGGAGGGAGGGGGCCCTGGTCAGCACTTCACTGTCCAGTTCAGCTCCCAGCACTCACTTGTGTAACTCCCAAGTTTAGGATGGACGATATTCACAGTCCCAAACTTCTTGGCTTCTTCTGCAGCTTTAGCTGACCAAGCTCCTGTCACCACATAGTCAGCACACCGTCCTGCCTTCAGGCCAATCAGGTTTAAGGGGACAGCACTGAACTGGCCAGACCCACCTCCTTGTACAAAAATCACCTTGTAGTTGTCTGGAACAGCTCTGGGCAGAAGCACAGGAGATAGTTAATAGAGACTCACAGGGTCAAAGATGGAGAATGAGTGATGCTTTACCAGCGCTCTACTTTGGGTGGGTATACTCTAAGAACCGGGAAAGTCCCACTACCACTTTGCCTTCCCCAACCTAGTCATTTATCTATACAGTCCTCGGACAACTATTTACTGGCCCTGTGGTGCAGCCTATGGTTACTGTTTGGAAAGATGCTAGTAACACCCTGCTGCTCCTTTAGAGTATCATCCCGCTGCCATTCTCAGTCCATATGGTTCTAGGATAGTCAACCCCAGCTCCAGGGGATGAGCAGCACATGACCCAAGCTGGCCAATGGGGTTTGGTTCTGAGACCTTTGATCAAACTTTTGGGAAAGAGAAGTTGTTTCTATTGAGGGGGAAAAAAATGAACTTGTAGGAAATAATCCTGCAGCCAATGGTGGCCATCTGATGAAGATGCCACATAAAAGGCAGAGCTAGGAGATGGAGAAAAAGCCCTTCCTGACATCATCTGAGCTCCTACATCACCCCTGCACTCTTTCATTATGCGAGGTAACATTCCTTTGTTGGGTTAAACCATGAGTTGGACTTCTCTTCTGTTCCTTGCCACCAAAAATCCTGAAAGTATCTATGTGCTGCTCACGCTATGAACCAAGTGGACACTGGAGAAGGATCTTTGATCATGTTTTAGTCTTAGTCACATAATCAGGTACCCAATACACACTGAGATTAAGAGTGAAATTTTTTGACTCCAGCATGGAAAATTAAGATTATGGCTGAAATGACTATAGGCAGTAGGATAAGGCCAGCCCCAGAGGGACTAGTCTATGGAACCTAAATCCAAGCCTTTGAGCAAGGACAGAACTTGGGAACAGGCAGACAGAAGGCAGATGGCCGGGGACAGAGCTCCAGCACAGAGGCGTAAGTACCAAAGGCCAAGTCTACATGAGAGGGTCTTGGGAAATAAGTAATGTACAAATATCTGGGTCTGAGCATGGTGTCTGCCCAAACCATGCTCAGTAGGATAGCAAAGTACACAGGAAGGCTCTACCCATGAGGTTTTCAGCAAGTGGGAGGACTGAGAGCCCAAGGCTGGCTTCGAAGGTTATGTTATTCAGATGTAAGGCAGTTAACAAGACCAAGAACTGAATGGAAGGGCGCTGGACAGAAGCTTAGGTTCAGGGGTACAAGGTAGAAACTTGGTCAGGAGACAAAGGGATAGGCCCACAAATTGAACTGGGAGTCCAGTCTGAAGAGGCTCACAGCCATGTGGGTCAAATGCCACATAGGGCCAAGGTTCCAAATGCCTCCTCCATGGAGGACATGATTGTTCTGTAAACATGACATGCGACCCAGCAAGCAGATGTGGCATCTGCAGCCAAGCAGCTGATCACCGGTTATGAGCACTCACATGACAACAGGCCTCCACATCTCCTCATAGAAATGGCACCAAGCCCACCCCATCTGAAGCATTTATCAAGGCAATTTAAAAGCAAAGTAATGAAATGCTCAATATCATTCCAATTTTGTTGATGAAAGACTGCATGGATGGACCCTAAAACATTAACAATGATTACTCCTCACTGGTAGGATTATAGATAATTCTAGTTTAATTTGTTTGTTTTTTTCTAAACTTTCTACGCTAGTCTTGTGAGCAGGAAAAAAATGGTTTTCAAGGTTACCGTATTCTTATGTTTATGTAAATGTATTATAAAATCTCTCCTTTAAACAGCAATCTATTTAAGAACAAGGTTTCCTCTAGACAAGAAAAGCAGTGCAGATAATCTAGGTCTTCATTTGAGCAGCAGTTCCCCAAGTTCAGAACTCTAAAAATGACCCAAGGAGCCTGTTAAAAATAAAGTTTCTACAGAGATTCTAACTCAGCAGGTCTGGGTAGAGCCCTGCACTTGAATTTTTTAATATCCCTCCCCACTAGATAATTCTGACAGGTAGTAGGAGGCTCATACTTCCAGAATCAGTGAACCAGATTATGGTTAATTATGCTGTCAAAGATGACCATTTCTTTGGCACTTAAATCCCTTTTAGGCCAGCTGAACTTGAACTTCCACAGTGCTGGAAAATCCTTCCTAGATATAATGATTTCAAATCCTTGGAAACACCACATAAAATAAAAACACACAAATGCAGGATGGGGAACAAGTAAAAAAGCATTATGTACTAATTTAGTGAATTTGGGGAATCTTAATAAGATTATTTTTAATTATGAAATATTCTAAACAGTAGAGTATAGAAAGTAATACAACAGACAGCCAGGTATATATCTTATTGAACAAAAGTAATGCAGTTTGGTCTTTAAAATTTTAAACTTACAGCAATTCCCGCACAAGATTCTCTGTCTTGTTAAGAATCTTAGCAAAATCTGATGACCTGTGGCTCATTTCTGTAGAAGGAAAGATAAACAAAAAAAGTTCCACTTCAAAATCAAATGAACACAAGTAACTTCAGAAGTAATGACAAAATTTGCAAGTAATATAAGTGGCAATTTTAGTTATTTTGCATTCAAATTATGGGCCAAAGCTCACTTTGTTTAGGGAAAAATCCAAATTAATTTTGAAACTGCAAAAATTATAGGCTTATGGTCAAAGCAGAATCATTTTTCAAGTGGCACAGTTTGAGTCTCTGTGATGTCTTACCGTCTTTCTTACAAACATGGGTCTGTGTGCAATGACTGGCCTTTGGAACAACAGTACTAAATTCTATGCTACACTGTTATTTCACATAAACCTAAGTACATGTCCAAACTCACAGGAACACTATTAAATAGCCATGAGCTTACAGTTAAACCTATGGTCTCTTAATACTATACAGCCATTGGAACTACCAAAAAAGAAAAAGAAAATTAAATAAAAGAAAGTAAATTTTAGAACTCAAAGGTCTTTTCGCTAGAAATACAAGGGAGAGAAACTTAATGAAATTATTAATGGGCAAGACTTCCATAAAAAGCTTGTGTACTTTTAAACTTTTAATAAGTTCACTTTTAAGTGTAGTAAAAACTAAAATGAATATGAAGCAATATTATGTTTTGAACACAGCATGTAAATGTGCAGTAAGAATCTTCTCATCTCAGATCCTATGAATAGCAAAACCAATTATGAAATGCTAAGTTGAAATGTATGAACCCTTCACCAGCATTTATGTTATGTCAATTTCAAGACTGCTTCCAACAAAAATGTAATAGACATTATTAAAATTTAAAAACACATCTATAAAGGCCTATAGGAAGACTGTAGAAATTCTAGGCTTGATGCACTTAAATTAGTTCTCTGTGAAACTTGGACATTCACAGAATCCAAAAGCAAATCTTACCAAGAACACTAATCCCAACACCTTTGTAGTCTAGTAATTCTTTTTGGATCTCTAACAATACCTAGAAAAAAGAAAAGAAAATAGGTGATTTGAATATTCTGTGTACAATTCTCCCTCTGGACACACAAACCTGGGGAGGGGCAGGGGAAGGGGTCCACAGACCAAAGCCAGGTGAGGTCTGGAAGCTTCTTACCCCATCCACAGCCAATCCCCTTCCTCCCACCATTTTCACAGAGCCCAGATGCAATTTTGCAATTTACACACAAATTGAGTGTGAAATTACCAACCATGACTGATGCTAGGATGGTTTTTCTAAAGGCATGAATTTCCTTAGATATAAACATTCATTTGCATTTAAAAGAAAATGATCAAGTATACAATTTTTCTGATGATGACTCAACTGTCAAAATAAAACCTCTGGAAAAAACCTGGAAAATGTTCCCTCCATGACATCTGCCATTCTCTTAAAGCAAAGCACAAAATGCATGAAGTCCTGGGTTCTGAGAACAACAAAAACATCAGGCCTAAATTAAACAGATAACTCGATTTTTCATATTTTTATCTAAGGTGCTTGACTGGGACAGGTAGGGTAGACATAAATTATGAAGCACCTGCCATGAATTAAAACTCCTGAGGACTAATTTACTGATCTTTGATCCCAACAACTGAGCCAGGAAGGTGATATTCTTATCCCTAATTTGCAGATGAGGAATCTCAGTTGAAGTTCCTGAGGGTGACTTAGCCATATGCCCTGGGTCAGCCATTTGGCCCATCTTATAGAATCACTGCAGTCCCATAACCACTTCATCCCTTACAGGGTAAGCAGGACTCAGTTTAGGGCCAATCCCAAAGTCAGGAAATGGAGAGGGGAGGAGTGTGAGGGCTGTATCTAAAGTAGCTCACTAGGGAGGAGACCCATTGTTTTTCTTCCCTAAGGGCAAGTAAAATGCAAATAAGTATAAACTAAAAAGAAAAACCCCTATTTTTTTTAAAGATAGCAAGCCTTAATTAGAGATTCAAAATGAAGTATTTATGAGCGACAAAACATAACCCAGGGGCAAGAGGGGAGAAAGAGGGTGTGGGGGAAGGCATGTTGAAACAAGATTGGCAAAATGTCCATAGTTCTTCAATCTCAGAGATAGGTCCATGGATTACATTATATTATTCCTTCTCTGCTTTTGTGTATGTGAGAACTGTCGCAAAAAGAGAAAGAAAAACTTCAGAAATGTGCACAAAACAGGTGATAAGTCCTCTGTAGAAGCATCCTGCCATCAGAGATGTTTTCCGAAGATATAGGCTAAGGAGGAGATCAAAAAACAACCTAAACTGGATTGTGACTTGTCTAAGGAAACAATATTTGAAAAATAAAAAACTAAACAAAGATTCCCTTGACAAGGGGGTTCAAGAATCTGTCATTGTTTTGCAAACTCTGGATCCTTATTAGCACTGTCTGATCAAATAAACTTTAGTGAATCCTTCCTTTTATTAAATAGAAACATTCATCAATGATAGAATCATCTTTAAATTTAAGATTATATTTCTCTTATAAACAGCATTCCTTGAAAAGATATCTCTATAAGTTTATATCCAAAAATCATTACAAAGTTTTAAGTTTCCACCCAAAAAGCACCGCCCTCTAATCCAGTGGGGTTTATTTTTTGCAAACTACAGAATGCTTTTGCGGGTCACAACTAATTTTTTAAATGAAAATGAAAACATTAGAACAGAATAGAATGTAAATTGTATGTGTCATAGTTAATTAGGCTATTTCATAAAGCTTTTGTTTTAAACAATTACATGCAAGTACTCAGTCATTTTGTAAAATATATTTTTCACTAAGATTAGTCAAGGTTTGAAAAGCTTTGCTAATCTCCATAATTCAATTAAATCAAGACACATACAAAGCAACATCTGTCTCCCCTATCCTATTAGAGGGCATATCTGAGGGCAAAAATCCTCCCAGGAAAATAAATAATAAATAAATAATTGTATTACTGATGACAACTGCCATTATAATAAATGCATAAAAAATTATACAGGGAACAAATAATCTGAATCCAAAAGACAAAGAGAGAAAAATAGTGAGGAGGGTACAGGAAACATTTACACAACTCTAGCAGAAAAATCTCACCTAAAACTGGAATATCGAGAAAAAATAAGTCCTGTTCTCCCGGCCACTGTGAGTGCTACCCCTAGAAAAGTAAGCTGCCCTTTTCCTTCTAAAATCGTAAGATTTCCCGTTCTTACAACAACACAGAGAAGACTCTGTTCTAGGGAGATTTCTACCCTGTTCAACAATGGATAATTGTAAAGTACTTGGCTGTGCCCCATGTTGCTACAACATATTATCAGAGTCATCCCGGTTAGAAAGATAAAAATCTAACAGCAGGGGCAACAGATCGTCAATGCTTCAAGGTACATCAGAGACTTTGCCTTCTTCACAGCGGGGGATGTAGGGGAGGAAAAGAGCTGGAACCTGGCTGGGGGTTGGGAAGGCAAGGAGTGGGTGCCACTTGCAAGGTCTGGTTAGAGCTCGGGGGAGAATTCAATCATTCATTTGCTCCAGAATTTGTGAACTGACTGGGCTAGCAGCCCAGTGCCTACCAGAGTACGACTATTTGAATGCTTTGGGGACAAAGCCAGTTAAAAAACTGGATTGAACGCATGAAACACTGTGAAGAAAAAGACTACGGAAGAGTAGATTTTGTGGGTAACGAGGGAAGCTGGACTGGAAAGCTTTCAAATTCACGTTTCTGAAAAACAATGTTCCCAACTGTTGGCTCGAACTAAACGCTGTTTACCGGGGGCCATGAGTGGGCCTCCAGTTTGCAATCCCTTCCAGCTAACGCGATCCCCATTCACCATTCATTCAGTGTCCATTCATGCATCCACTCAATACTGCCTGGCTCGCGCCATTGCCGGGGGAGGGCAACGCAGAATGAGAGCTTTTTCTTTTCCTCTGAGCCCACGCCCTGGCCCGAAGGAAGAATCGCAGGGAGTCTTCAGGTGCATAGCACCGGCGGGCCAGCACGCCCCGGCGGGCCGAATCGTGCACGCACCGGAGCAGCTGCACAGGCATGCCTCGCCGAGCTTCCTCTCCCAAGTGCAGTCTTCCAGAAGCCCACGTGCGAGCGATCCTGAACTGGGCGTGCACGCTTGTGCAGAACGTTTGGGGGGCTCAGGGACGTGGAGTGGAGATCTCAGCGCCTGGGGCAGAGATGCACGGCCACCGCGCAGGGCGCACAGCTACCCGCGCAGAAACGCGCAGCCACCCGCGCTTGTGCTCCCGCCCGGGATGCACCCTCCGCGCACGCTCGCGGGGACTTACCGACCGCGGCAGCTTGGCGGGCCCCGGCCCGAAGTTGACCACCTGCCTCGGGGCATCCATTGTGCGAGGGTGCGGACAGCAAGTCAACAGGAGACAACCGAACGCGTGGGCAGCGCGAGTCTGTCCGCGACGCCGACTCTCTCCCTTCTTCCAACGCGGAGCCGACGCCCCCATTGGCCCGCGCTGTCTCAGGCCCTGCACTGATTGGTTTGTGCAATAGGGCTCGCATCTCCATTGGTCGCGGTCATGAGCAGGGGCCCGGAGCAGTTGCTCCTGGTGTTTACTGTTTCAACCCTTTTTTTCTTGATCAGTGCAAGGCGTGCGCGAGATTGCACCATCCAGCGTGCTTTGCTGCGCCCCCGCCCAAGGATCGTGAGCGGAGGAAGAGCCCTCGTCAACCTAAGTTGGTGATCCTGCGCTCTTGATCAGGCCAGTGTGGGTCCTCCAACCCTGATCCCAGCCTCTCTCTTTTGGCCACTGGGGGAGATGCGGAGCAAATCGCCCCCCCACCCCCGCCCTATCTAACTACCTCTCCCCCACCAGCCCCTGGGCTGGGCTCTAATGCGTTTGTTTCAGAATCAGCAGTCATTAATTCACCAAACTTTTCTAAGCACCCCCACGGCTTCAGATACTCCAGGGAAGAGGCAGGGCCGCCAAGGTTGGAAATGCTGGGTGAGGCCTGGGCCCAGGGTGGGAGTAGGAGAATGAGGTTGTTTGCTCTTGCACAGGGGCCCAGAGTTCCTGCAGGATTAAAGGATGGAGGTGGCCAAGGATTCTGGGAGAATCACTGGCCTGGGAAGCTTGAATGCTCTCTAAGCAAGTCCTTTAAAGTTGCTGATTCTTCATTTTCTCTTTTGAAACGTGCGAGCCGGAACCTGGAGAGAGCTCTCAGGTTGCTCCAGCGCTAACAAGCTGTGAGTTTAGAAATGTGAGGATATGTTAGCAGGAAGGCGATACTCCTGGGGAGCCGCAGCCCAAGCCAGGGAAGAGGCCCAGAGCCAGGCCTGGAGAAGGGCCAGCGCTGCTCAAACGTTTCTACAGAAGTATCATTCTCGAACTCCAGTGGAGATCCATATGGGGTTCTAAAACAAGAAGGAAGTTTCTCTGGAGTTTGGAATTTCATCATTTTTAAATGTGAACTTGGCATTCTGCTCCATAATTTAACCTGGTTTCCTTTACTATAAAAATATTTTCCCAACTCTTTGAGCAAAATTGACATACCAGGAATACACGCAGTGCCTATCCTGAGTCTCTGTAACACCAGCCATAGTGTCAGCTACTCCGTTTGAAAAGGCTTGTAAGCTGACAGGGTTTGGCCTTTTGTTTGCTTTTTGTGGTATGTGGGCAGGATGGGGCTGGGATCTGAGGTACTGCTTTGGGTTTGGGGGTTGGAAAGCAGTTTCTAGAAAAAACTGAAATGAACAAGATCACTGCCTTCCTCAGCACCTTTGTTTAGAAAATTGTAAAATTTCATGGTGTTTAAAAAACAAAATTCAACTGAGTAAATTTAAAGATCTGACTGACTTTATTAAGAGATTCACAAATCTGAGCAGCATTCCCCCATCTAGCAACTAGAAGGATGCTGAGAGGGGTTGTACAAAAAGGAAGGTTTTTATAGGAAGATGGATGGGGCGAAGGACCAAATAAGAAAAGGATTCCTTTTAGACCAGGCCAGTTCCCTTGGAAGAAAGAGAATGACAAGGGCTTCTTATGGTGATTTCCTCTTGTTTCTATGGGAGATGGAGGTCTATGTGACAGATGACTTTACTGGTGCTTGACAAAAAAATTCCAGACTGATTGATTAAGATTACATTTATGGGAAACTGCAATTAGATCAAGTATCAAATCTAGATTTGGTATCGTGGGCTTTTAGCCCAAGTGACATCATTTTGGACCTGTGGTTTTCTCTTTAAAGAGGGTATGCATCTCAGTTCATAAACTCAGGTGTGCAAGAATTGTCACTTATCGATTATTTTATATAATGACTTCGCAGTAGACGCCTAGCTACAAATCTCCTGTAGGGATGGGGAAGTTAGTCTTCCTCCTTCCTAGAGTCCCTAACTTAAGGGATTTACATAGTCCCTTGATGTGGGGTAGAGAAGGAAGCCCATACACATTTGGTCCTCTGTCCCCAGAAAATTTGGCTGAGTTGTCTCTACTGTCCAAGTTTCTATGGCTACTTCATTCAGTCATATAGCTCCTTACTACTTTTATGTCTCACAAGGGACGCAGGAAATTAAGATGGGGTGGGAGTGGCAATCATTCCATCTGCCAAGACATGCCATGCGATCATTTCTCCTAGGGTCGTGCAGTTTCCTAGATGATATCACAAGAAATAAAGCACACAGACCCTCTTCTCAGAGACCTGCTACCTCTGTCTCTCTTCCTCCTAGCCCAAGGGAATCTGTTTTTCATTCTAGGGAGAATCCATCTCTTTTTATATTTCTTTCTCACACTCTGTCCACAAATACCTTAAGCCAGGGCCACAAACTCCAGTACTTCTCAGGCTACACTGAGATAGAAAGGTGGTGGTGGGACTCTGGTGAGCTGGAATACACACACCCGTTAGTGGTGAAGTTGTACAACCCCACCACATGTTTGTGCTTCCCCTTCCATGGAAAAGGGTCATGACCAGGAAGTTGTTGCCTAGCCAGCTCCACCATTTTCCAGCTCCCCTTGCATGTAGGTGGGTCACGTGACTGGGTCCCACCAATGAAATGGAGCAGAGGATGTCACTTCTTTTTTTTTTCCTGTTCCACAGGCTGAAATCAAAGACTCCTAGGCCCTTGGGGATGGTGGAGATACAGGAAGGAAGGAGCCCTAATCTCTGAATCACCTGCTCTGGGCTTGTTATACATAAGTGAGAAATCAACTTATTTTGTGTTATGCCACTGAAACCTGAGAAGCTATTTGTTCCAGTGGCTCACGTGATCCCAATTAATATGCCATTCTAAATGCAACAGCTGCAGGCTCAGATCCAGCTGTTTGTGCTAGGTGGGCAAACAAGGTTGCTCAAACTGTCTTTCAGTTTTTTAAAGAAAAACCAGGAGCTCAGGTTTTTATTATTTAAATTTTAGAAAACATTATACAGATCAATATTGTGAGGGGCCAAGTCTGGCTTCATTGTAGGCCTGATTCAGCATGCAGGTCACCAGCTCTCCTAAGGGCTGTTCTATAGTGTTGTGCCCTTAATTCAACACGGAAGACAGCTACCTGCTTGAATAGGAAAGGGAACAGGAAAGGGAAAAACACTAGGGAAAATGTAATTTAATCTTAAAATATTCTGTCACCCTGGATATTTTGCAGCGCAAACATATAAAGACAGCCCAAGGCACCCTTGAATTTCAGGAGGGCCCCTTCCATCTGAGTAAATTCTCATTTAGCAGGTAAAAAGAAGCTTCTTATGAAATGTATATTTTGTCAATTTTCACAAGTATTATTGAGCCCTTACTATATATGAATGGTGCTGGGCTCTGCTTCTATTTCCAGTCAGATCACCTGTCCTGTTTAGAGGAGAATGAGAAGAGAGGGCAAACCTGAGCAGGGAAGAAACCTATTTCAAATGAAGTGTGATCATTTCTGCTGCCCTTTTTGTCATTGGAGCTAATGATTTTTTTCCCTTACCATTTATTATTTCCAGAGAAAATGAGGAATGAAAAAAAAAGAAGACATACAAATGAATCTGAAAAAACTGGTCATACTAGGAATAAAAATGAATGCAAATTAGGGATTTGAGGAAACATGGAGTGAGAGACAACCCCCTCAAAAAAAAAAAAGAAAAAATGAGGAGTGGGGCGAGGGAGTCATCAGAGTTTATATAGCAAAAAACAAACAAACCCAAATCCTGTTACATTTTTTATTCTGACACCACCAGACAATAAAATGATGTGTATAAAGAGCATCCCACTGTAAGCTTTGCACAAGTAAAGCCTTTAAAGGAGTCATTTTAAGAGAAGTGCTCTCTTTGGACCAGTGGGCAAAGTGGCATAGAGGATTGCACACTGCTTCTTTCTTTTAACATCTTAAAAAGATTCTGATATAGAAAAGGCATCTGAATTATTTTAACCTGAAAATGTACTTATTTTACCACTTTTTTGTGTGTGAGTTAAGGAGCAAAACTCCTGTCACCATATTTCCAGCATAGACACACTATTCACTACACCCAGCCATGCTGGCTCAGATCATGTGCATATGCATTTTTTGGATAAACCCTCTTTACCTGGACTACATCGCTCCAGGGTTCCACATGGAAGCATGAAAATGGGCCACAGAGCACTGTTTAATCACCTATCCAAAGTCTACCTGTGCCTATTATAGAAACCATCAAGTCTCAGTTTTAGAATGACTTTTATGGTGTTAATAATCAGGTGGTGGTTTTATTCTTTGCTTTGTTTTATGGGTGCCAAAACAATTACTAAGACAAAGGAAGGAGCTAGAGCAAAGCCAGGGATCATAGGGGTGGAGCCAGCTCAGGTTTCAGAAAGTCCTGTTTCTGCTCCCTTCTTTTTCTCATATCCCAAACTAAGTCCCATCTCCAAAGGACTACACACAGTGCCTCAGAAATAAACAGTGATTGTGCTTTAATTTATTTTTTGGCTTATGTTTGATACAGGAAGACAGCAAAGATCAATAAAAAATAAGAATTCAAATTCAAAGCAGCCTTGTGTGAAAGCCCTCTCTGTAATCATAGAAATGAAATAGAAGAAGAGGAAGATGGGCAGTGTGGCTGGAGGGTAGTGATGGGGAAACATGGGGAAGACGAATTCAATACAGCATCGTTTATGTGGATGGTGAACTGCTATATACCACTATTAAAACTTTGTCTGCATACAAAGACTTTTTAATGGCATAGGAATATGCTTAATAGGAAAAATCAAATGAAAACAAAAACTGCCCCCATCACCACAATTAACCATCTCTAATCACACACAGGCAAACATAACAATGATTATCTCCCACTAAAAAAAAAAAGAAAGAAAAATGCCCACCTCCTAGACTCAGAATTTCTACTCAAATTTATAATCCCAAACTTCCCAAACCAGAACACTACCAGATGCATTCAGACTCATTCATTAATTCATTCGAAAAATACAGTTGACTCTTGAACAACATGTGTTTGAATTGTGTCGGTGCACTTACTCATTGACTTTTTCAATCAGCAATTCAAAAAAACTTGCAGACAAACCTCATAATCTAAAACAGATGATGTAAATTTACAGTATCAATAAATGTAGTACAGTACTGTAAATTTATTTTCTCTTATGATTTTCTTAATGTTTTGTTTTCTCTAGCTTACTTTATTGTAAGAATATAGAATATATAGTACATATAATATACAAAATAGGTGTTAAACTGACTGTTATCGGTAAGGCTTCTGGCCAACAATAGGCTATTAATAATCAG